CCTCCTCCCCCTGTGGCTGGCGTGGGACGTGCTAACAGCACAAGCCAAACCAGAGAGCCCCCTATCCCAGCCGCCAGGCCGAGATGGGCTAACCAGCCACCTGTGGCTATCGGGAAACCACGCCCAGAGACCCTCTGGGATAAACCTTAGGATACTCTGCTTGCCTGAGCAGTGCCTGCCTCACCATCTACACCGCTAGCCAGCCCCGAGTCAGCTGGGCGTCCGGTGTCTGTGCTCTGCCTGCGGTGAAAATGCAGCCCCAGGCTGGGCTTAGCGTTGTTCCAAATGGACCCTTGACAAAGCCCCGTTCCCCGCTCCACGTGGGCCAGGCCAGCGCTGAGCTGTGCGCTTGGAGGCCAATGGTAACTGTCCCTGGTGCTGAGTCTGGGACAACCTGGCAACGCAGAGGAGAGGCACCAAATCCCTCCAGTCCATCAAGACAACAAAAGACTCGATGTGCCCTAATACAATACGTTCCGGTTGGACTCCTGAAATCCGGCCGTGCTCCCCTCCGGCCTGACTCAAACCATATTCCGTTTAATCCACACTTACATAATTCTGGGCACCGCTATGGCTCCGCAGTGGGGGGCTCAGTGCTCTAAGCCGCCCTGGTTATCTCCCCAGTGACTCAGGCTCCCTCGTGGGACAGCCTGTCAGGGAGAGGCCGGTGGCTCGCTCCCTGCACCGGGCAAAGGGGTTAGGGCGGTTTCATTAGGAAAAGCTGTCAGGGGGCCCCAGGAAATGCTAAATTAGTTTTCATTGATCTTTCTGGAAGTATTTAAATCGCAATCCTCTTAGGGGGAAAATCCCCACATCTGCAATATGGCATTTTATTTACAAAACGCCACGCTTACTACACCTTCCCCCTGGGGGGGCAGCACTTTAAACAGGCTGTATTGTGAATGCCAGTGGGGGGGTTAATCCGAACAGGCCAAGCTCTCCCAGGGCAGATGAAGTCTGCGGAAGGTTTTTTGACTCTTTCCACCAACTGACAGGTCAGCAGGAAGATATAAAGATACTTTTCCCTTCTCCGGGACGCTCACAGATTGTGCACACCGTGGGTAGGAGTGAGCAGCGCGCTTGGAGAGAGATCCCAGCCCCCGCCTTCGCCAGGGGCTGTTTCGCCAGTGTCCCCGCTTTAGACCTCGGGCGACGAATCTGTCACGGAGTCCGTGATTTTATGAGATCGCCATGACGCCTCGAAAATCCCAATAATTCAGCCCCAGATGTGGGGCTCGGGTTTCAGCCCCTGGCGACGGAGCTTGGACAAAAATAAACCCGTGATTTCTTGTTTATTGCCTGCGTCCTGTCCGTGACTTTTCATAAAAATACCCATGCCAAAATCGGAGCCTTATGGGCCCATCCTGCCCAGGGAGCGCGACCTGGCAGGAGAGCGCGTTCCTGGCCACCATCACTGCTCCCTGGGGTGCTGTGGGGTGACACAAAATAGCCTCAGTGCTGGCCAGACACACCAAACCTTCTCACACCCCCAGGTGCCCCTCGGACACAGCCCATCCCCCACGGCGGCAGAGGGGAGCAGCGTTATATGGAAATGACCAGTCACCTTTACAGTGGGGGCACAGGGATGGGCTGGGGATCAGCGTGGGGGCCTGGCTGAGCTGGGGGGGCAGCCCCCATGAGCTGGGGATCCTTGAGCAGTCTCCCAGAAGCAGCAGGAAGGGGACATGCCTGGCAGCTCCCTGGATCCCAGGGCACTGATGAAGTCACCCCCTCCCCAACCCCAACCCCTGGGTCTGCGGGGACCCAGCGCAGGCACACACACGGCACCCCCTTCGCAGGGCCCGGGGCGGGGGGGGGTCATTGCACTTGGCTCAACAATAGAAGACCAATCCCCAGCCCTAGGGTTGTGGAGGGGTCTGTGTGGCCAGGGATCCCTGCTACTGACCCTACCCCCCAGGTGCAGAAGGGGGTCACGCAGGGCAGCTGGCCTGGGGCTGAGGTCACGGATCCCTGGTATCGATACCTCCCCACCCACCCCCCAGACACACCCCACACGCAGTTCTGCTACTACCCAGAGCCTCGGCGGGGGGGGGGAGAAATAGCTGGGGAGGGTGGCAGCTTCCTCCGGAGGGAACCCGGTCCTAGGGGAGGGGTCCCTCTAAGCCCGGCCCGGAGAGTCCAACCCTATTGTCCAGTAGGACCCCAGCCCTGCCTGGCGCCCCCAGCCCAGTCCAGCCCCCCCAGCTCTGCCCTGCCCTGCCCGGCCCCGGGGCGCTGGCGCCCCCTCCCAGCCCTGCTCGCCCCCCAGCCCCGCCCGGCCCGGGCCCCCGGCTGCGCGGCGGAGACTCACGGCTGCCATCGAAGCGCGAGGCGATGGTGTCCAGGAACGTGTTCTGCGGGGCCAGCAACCCCTTCATCACCGGCATGGCCCCGCCGCCCGCCCGCTCCCCGGCCCGGCCCGCGGGCTGCAGCTCGGGCAGCGGGGCTCCGGCGGCAGGTGCAGCCCGTGCGCCGCCCCGCTCCGCCCCCCGCTAATCCCGGCCGGGCTGCTCGGCGCGGCCCCGCCCCGGGGGACCCT